CGGGTCTTCGGCATGACGAGCGAACGCTTTAACCACTAGGCTACCCGACCGACCCGGTTATAGGGAGACAAAGGTCCGGACACAGAACATCGGAAGACAAAGGTCCAGACACAGGATATAGGAAGACAACGATACAGACACGGGTTATAGGAAGACAAAGGTCCAAACACAGGATATAGGAAGACAAAGGTCCAGACACAGAATATAGGAAGACAAAGGTCCAGACACAGGATATAGGAAGACAACGATACAGATACAGGTTATACAAAGAGAAAGGTCTAGATTCTGGATATAAGAAGACAAAGGTCCAGACACAGGATATAAATATAAAAATGACACCCTTGGGTCAAGCCCTGGCCAAGACACTGACGTGCTGCTTGACATGCGTGTTTCGGGGACACAGGGGGTGCACTTTAATTCGGGGAATTCGGGGATGCCACGTGACTGAGTTTTTGATGCTTTGTTGTTTTTTACTTTACTATTTTTGCCAGTACAAATCGTCTATTTGCCTTGATCTTGGGTAACTGACATTAAGTTATTATGTACAGTTACGGATAATATTTATATAGAATTCGATGTTACAGTTAATGTGTGTAGATATTGTTTGTGGGGAATATCACTTGTGTCTGTTAACTTTCATATACATCGATCGTATATAAAGGTTCTACGCTTTTGTGAATAATCAGTCGTTCAAATGTAAAAATGTTCAAGACATAATATATATGTAATCCATTGTCAAGATGTAGCACAACCCCACCGGTCGTTGTTGGAAATGTGTGATTTGAACTTTTGTGAATACAATTACTCTTTGAGATGGTGATTTATTGCCGGTTATTGTTCAGCTATAAGTATATTCACGGGTGCTTAATAACTTTCGAGTGTGAAGCTGTCCTGTCAATGGCATTGTGTAATAAAACGATAAACAAACCAAATCAAAGTGTGTCTGTCTGCTTAAAGGTTGTCTCGAAAGTACGCTCTGTTTTGAATAGGGGAAATATGTGAATTAGTGATGATACGGGTTTTTATCACATGCTGCCTCGCCGGTCACTAACACACACAGTCAAGTGTTCACCTGAAAAAACACGGGTATATGACGCCGACATGGTGAACTGAATCTGACATAAAGTTGGTCTAAATTTGAAAACCCACCTGACATTCTGATCAAATAAGAGAGTTAGTACGAGTGAGTGAGTATGTATTGGTTTACGCTGCTTTAAACAATATTCCAGCAATATTTCCAGAAATGGTCTTCACACATTGTACCCACGTGGAAAATTCGAACCTGGACTTTCAGCGTGATGAGCGAACAGGTTGACAACTAGGCTACAATAGCACCCGGCTAATAACTTTGCGTTTCACAAAGCGATGTTAGTGCTAAGACTATCGTCAGGTTAGTTACAGGATTGGCGTCACGTTCGTCTAAGCGTGAAGATCGCTCTATAGAATATAACTACTTTTATTAAAATACCAGAAGTAACAGCACTGTGAACAATTACTTTATTACATCAGCTGTCACTACAATGAGTAAAACAAAAATGTGTTCCACATAATACACATTCACAACAGATATGGATGGAATTGGTTTCTATACACAATCATAAAACAATATCAATCAAGCAAAACCAACCTTTTTAATTCTATGGTGAGTGAGTGAGTGAGTATGGTTTTACGCCGCTTTTAGCAATATTCCAGCAATATCATGGCGGGGGACCCCAGAAATGGGCTTCACACATTGGATCCATGACGGGAATCGAACCCGGGTCTTCGGCGTGACGAGCGAACGCTTTAACCACTAGGCTACCCGACCGCCCCTTTAATTCTATGGACAGATCTCTTTGCTCCAAATTGTGTGGTTAAAGCACGAATTAACGTTTTAACCAAACCTCGGGATCATTTTCAGGCCTTGCAGCCATACACAGACCATCCACATACTCGACAACCTATCAATGGGGATAAAGCCACAAAACCCTTTCCCTATTCAATAAAATAGAGTTGGTAGTACGATTCCGACTATATCATGAGCATGTGTTTATGAATCACTATCAAATAGTAATGATACCAGGTGTTCGCGAAAAGGTGAGCGTATCCTGCCCACCGGTGGCAGTTGTCACAAAAACATGCAAAGGCAAGTCAAAATACCATGTCTAGATATATCAAAGTTGCACAATGGAATCTTAGTGATACGAGTACGAATTTACTTTAAAAAAAAGTTCAGGTCTACAGTTTATTTGGAGACAGATCTGAGTGAATATATGAGTGAGTGACTAGAATTTGACAAAAGTCGTTAATATTACAAGTTTATCCACTGTGGCCCAATGTTTGTTGATAAATACCCTAACCCATTCGCTACAACGGCCTTGTACTGAGCACAATACGAATGGCACAACGCTGAAAATAACCATCCAATCAAATAGTTCCCACAAGCGAGAGATGTTCTGTGCTAAACTGCTGATAGGTGAGATAGTGGCCTCACTTCCGAAACGAAGATGTGATTGGTAAGCAGAGTGAGTGAGTGAGTAAGTTGGGTTCAACTCGTCTTTATACAGTGAGAGTGAGTTGGGTTTAACGCCGCTTTTAATAGTATTCCAGTTATATCGTGTCAGCTTGATGTGGGAGGAAAGTCCGAAGTGATGCAGGTCTCAGATGTTTACCACTTCGGTGAAACCCACGAGCATGGGTATGGTGCTGACAAACCTAGAAACATAATTGGGGCGAACCGGGATTCGAACCCACAATCATAGGTTTCTGGCATGCCCAAGGGACGCAAATCTGCACAGCAAATCGCGGCGCCTTAGACGACTGGGCCACCTGTGGCCCCCTTTATACAGTATTCCAGTTATACAAATAATAAGTGAGTGAGTTTTTACGCCGCTTTTAGCAATATTCCAGCAATATCACGGCGGGGGGCACAAGACATGGGCTTCACACATTGTACCCATGTCACGAATGGAACTCGGGTATTCGGTGTGACGAGCAAACGCTTTAACCACTAGGCTACCCGACCACCCCCTTATACAAGGAAACATAACACACTTGATAATCAAGACTGAAAGTGATGAAGATTACAATTTACAAAGCTCTCCATCAGTGGATGGGGTGTGGCGAAAGTATACAATGAACACCTGCAGTGATTTATACCATGTCAAGGCACATACTTCAGTAATTTATAACCAGAATTTTACAATATTTTTAACTGTTACCAACATCATCATTTCCAAACCCTGTGTTAGTGTACAGTGAAACCATGAAACAATACAGTTTGATTGTAATAATTAACTTCCAGATTAACAAATTATTATATATATATACTACTCAAAACAAGTCAAACATCCACGGTTGTAAGGCTGTGTGATGGCATACCCTCCATCCATGACAGATTCTCTATAGTCATATGAACACTCTATTTTGTTATGTGACTATAGTAATCTGTCATTGCCAGATCAACTATAATCTTATGATTTTTTTTGGTTTTGGTTTGGTTTATTGTTTAACGCCGCACTCAGCAATATTCCAGCTATATGACGGCGGTTTGTAAATAATTGAATCTGGACCAGACAATCCAGTGATTGACATGAGCATTGATCCACGCAATTGGGACCGATGACATGCATCAACCAAGTCACCGAGCCTGACCACCCGATCCCGTTAGTCGCCTTTTAAGACAAGCATAGTCGCCTTTTACGGCAAGGATGGGTTGCTGAAGACCTATTCTACCCTGGATCTTTACGGGCCTATAATCTTATGAAAACAAATCGGTGTTCTTGAAACACTTTCGAATAGAATATCTGGTTAAAATGTATTGAACATAGACTGAATATTGAAAGTTAATTCACTGTTGGTTAGCGATGTGCACAAACAAGACAAATTACTATTTTATTTTAGACAAAACAAGTACTGGTTGTTATCACTATCTGTGCAGTAACGGGTTTACTGAAGTCACACATGAATATCGTATAGATACAAATATACAAATTTTATATATTAAGAAAATGAATTGTAAAAATTATTTTCGGACAAATTCTTAAAAATCAGTTGATGTAAGTAGGTTTACGATACCGCATTCGACGTAATAAGAGCACAGGGCGCTCTCAAAATTAGAAATAGGTGGCTCTTGTTAGAATTTTATTTTGGTGAAAATAACAGTTGAAAGATTGCAAATTTCGTGGTTTACGCTGACACCCTGAAATGTTTATATACGACAGATATTTTTTTCCAGAATTTAATTGCCCATTATTAAGGGTGCATATAACACACGAGTGCGTATTATACACGAATAAATAAGTCTTGTGTACATTGATCAATCGGAAGGGGTGCTAATTGGGATTGTTCAATAGCCAATATATTAGCAAATATCACTATAGGCTTATTAGAGCTGGGCGCTTATTAAGTGGAATACAGTATGTTTCCAGTAATCTTTTGGGAGATGGAATATTGGTTATTTTCATGACAATTGTCATGTCTTCATGTATTGTGTCATGACCTGTGATATACTAGTGCCTATAATAGCAGAAAGAAGTGGACATAAGTCTTGGTTCCCTGGAATTGATGAGTCAGCAAAAGTTCTAAATGAAAAATATGACACTATTCATCTTCTGCTTTGTCCCCGACAACCTAAACATTTATGCCTTGATGAATTGTTTTAAAGTTATTGCACAAAAACCAATAGTTTGATATCATGTCTTGTCATAGGAGATTTTCTTAAATGCAGGAAAAACAAAGTTACATATCCACAGAGCTAAAGATAAGCAGAGTATTTGCATAACCCCCCCTCCCAAAAATAATAATTTTTTATTCAAAACCCAATTACTTAAAATTAACTTGCCTACAAAAACGCATGCATTATATGAAAAACTCAAATGTATAAAAACAGCACACGTAAATACCCAATGAAGCTTTTTCAGCATGCATACAAAGGAGCTAATTTCCTAAACTAAATTACGAGCTAATTTACTTTAGAAGTAGAGCCTATATATTTAGAACAGTTATATACATCTAAAACAATTATTTCATTTTTTTCAAATCTTAAAATTTCGCTAATTTTGAGAAAAACCCAATAGAGTGATGAATAGATGAGTGAAAAAATATTGGAAACCCTAGAGTAAAAACTCAATTGCTCAAAAAGTTATATGGAGCTCTGCTATCTCTGATGTAACTCCATGACGATGTAACAGGAATGGTACTATATATACAAATGTAAACTTATATGTAAAGCAAAACAACATATTTGTCATACGGGAGAAACTTGAATACACTTTCACTTTAGTTTTTAATGTTTTAATAGGTTCATGGCACATCAGAAGGACATAACTATTTTTTAACAGAATTGTACACCTGATATTTTAAAGCCGTTTAAATTAGGTTATCCAGATAGATTTATTCTTTTTAGGCCGCTGACTAAACTTTACAGAAAATGCATATACTGTAAATACTGACAATATAAAAATACATTTAACAGTCAACTTTAAAAAGTGTATCAAAAGACTAGTCCATTAAGACTTAAGGGGTTTGACAGGGTAGTAACAGTGGACTCAACCACAGAAATAAAGTTCATGAAAATTGCAATTAAAATTGACCGACTGCTTTTGTAGCACGTTTCACAGCAACAATATTTAAATGCAGTTTCAAGATTACATGTCTGGAGTATAGATAAGTACATAACTATATACAAAAACCTTCAACAATACAATATCTTCGTCAGACTGACAGATACATGACATTTACTGGGATACAACATGTCACGTTATGGATATTATACACCATACAATACAAGAACTATTATGCACTGGTACTACAAGGTGCCCAAATAATATGTATCACAGCATCACCAGAACCAAATAATTCACAGTTGTAAGATTTCCATCACAGTTCAATATCATATATGACTTACAGGCATTTAACAGATGCACAAAATCATTATGTTACTCTCATTACACATTTAAAGTATACTTATCAAAATGTACAACAGAAGTGTATAAATCAGATCTTGACAGTAGATGAACACAAAATGAGTTTTATCATATTCCCCTTCCCCCCATTTTTTAAGGTTTCCTAAATACATGTAACATGTTTTCATGGACACCCCCCCCCACCTCCCCCTTCCAATAATAAATGACAAGTCCCTATAAAATGGTCCATTTCATATTTCATAATTCTTTCATGGCCCTCCATATAGTTGTGATAAATTTTGGTAACCTTCCTCTTTTCATCTTTTGCCGTGTCATTTTTTCATGCCGCCCCCCCCCCCGCCCAAACAGTAACCAGTCCCACCAGTCCCATAGTTGGTTCTGACACAGCTTTTAACTTTATTTCAACTACACACAAACCCATCATGATGCAGATTGTACTTTTGTTCAAATCCATGAGCTTGGTAAACCAAGCACAAACATGATCTGATTGCTGGATTTGAACATAGCAGTGGATCATTGGATGGCCAAGGGATGCAACTCTGCATAGCAAAATGCAGCAGCTAGGACAATCTATGTCCAACTGCTAGGCAATGATAGAGATTAACCTGGAAGTCTTCTAGCCCCAAATAATTATCACACGTAAGAACATACTCAGAAAGTTTCCGATAGCCTCTGGGACACCATTATCATTAGAAAAATCATCTTGGAGTAACCTTGATAATGGACGTGTACTTAGTTCCAATTCTGAGATATGGGGGACTATTCAGATCTTGCAGACTAGAAAAAAACACAGAAAGTCCATAAAATTTAGAGAAAAGGGACCCCCAACCAGAGAAAATTTAAAAGAAGTTTAAAAGAACCTGCCGAGACTTGCAGTTATGGCATGAATTTCCCTTGTTCGATGAGATACAGCTCCCATGAGGTCTTGCTTGTATCTTGTAACCATACAATGATCCTAACAAAATATATCAGTTTCCAAGGTAACAATAAAGGTAACAAATCAAGATTTTGTGGTTCTAATTACATGACTTTTAAAATAAGAGCATGAGTGATTTAACTAAATCTTGAAACTTAAATCCAGCTAGAGTTTGGGTAGAGGCAAAAAAAATAATCATGTTTGAGCATCCTTGAAAGTTGATGGCACTGAATGATAAGTCGCTCAGGTAATCATAACCACAAAATATTGTTTAGGGACAAGTGTTGATGTCCCTCTAGTACAGATGGGTGAGGACCAGTCCGATGTAGAGGCCTAAGATGAGGCCACACACGATGAGGACAATGATCCCCACGATGATGCTGATGTTGATCATCTGTTTGGATGACCTTGCAGCAAGGTTTGCAGACACCACGTCACCGCGAGCCATCGAACATCGAGCCTGTAAACAAGAGATGCGAGGTTTAGTTCTCAGTTGCACAGTTTTCCAGTTGTATAACTGCTTGTCACCTTGTTGTTGAAGAAAAGCCCGAAGTGATGCAGGCCTAAGACATTTACCACTCTGGTGAAACCAGGATCACGGATGTCTGGCGACAAAGGGATGTAACTCTGCAACAGCGGCATCTTAGACGACTGGGCCACCTGTGTCACCATCGATATCAAGGGTTGGACAATGTATGTTTTCAGGTAACACAAGATAACACTGACTTAAGACAGACATAGGGCTAAGATTATTCTGAAGCATGGGACCAAGGATAATAGCCACCAAAAATCTACGGTTCCACAGAAAATATGACTGCAAAATAAAACAGTTCACTCTTTCAGGTAGCAAATATTCACAGTTGCTTTCTTTGAATAATAATATTTCAATCAGCATTTCAAGCAGAATTATTTAAAAAAAATGTCTACTCATTGGTGTGAAAACACCCAATAGTCAGGACCCAAAGGAGAAAAAATACATTAAATACCCAAAGAGAATGATAACAAGTGAGTGAGTGAGTATGGTTTTACGCCGCTTTTAGCAATATTCCAGCAATATCACGGCGGGGGACACCAGAAATGGGCTTCACACATTGTACCCATGTCGGGAATCAAACCCGGGTCTTCGGCGTAACGAGCGAATGCTTTAACCACTAGGCTACCCGACCGCCCCATAACAAGTGAGACAATAGCAATTTTTTTTGGCTGCAGACTTGGCGTTGAATATTGGCCTCTTAGGAGGCATAGACACACTTAGTGTTTCTTCCACAAGCCAGTTGGTCTATCTGGAATAAATCATTACTCTTGGGCCAGCATAAGTCGGACATTGGCACTGCAACTCAAGTGTCCATTATAATACTCACATCGTTAGCTTTCATGATGGCGATGATTCCAGTGGGCCAGAAACAGCACAGGGTGACGAAGATGGCCCCACACATGTGGTCGGGGGGCGGGGTGGCATTCTGGCCACCCTGGATCATGGGCTGGGTCTGGATCTGAAGCATAAGGGTGGCAGTCAGCACATGTCATGATGGACACTCACTGCGCACCATACAACAAGCATAGGTTACTGGGCACCAGTGTCTGAAATGATATCCGAAATTAATCTCAACAAGAGTTTGCCACTAACGTGGCTATATCCCCCGCCCCTGTTGCAGAATTTATGACATAATTATATCTAAACAAACCCTAACCTTTTTTAACCGAGGTGGAACTTGTCATGGAAATTGTTTGGAACCTAAGTCCATCTTGTTGCCATGGAAACGTAAAAAAATTAAATTTCTAAAGTGTCTAAATAGCAAAAGGCACCAGTTCAGCATGTACAGACCTGCAAAGTTCATGAAAAAATATTGAACGGTTTCTGAGTTATGCTCCGGAAACGAAACGTGACAGACGGAGCCCGTTTCTATATCCCCCGCCAACTTTGTTGGTTGGGGGATAATAAAATCAGACCTTTCACTCTTCAATTGGTTTTCAAAAGCTCACATCTGATTGGCTAAAGAATCCATGCATTCTCCATTCTGACTGGGCACTCACAGGTCACACAGATTCCTGTTATGGGACCCTCTATAAAGTGGCATATGACAGTGATAGGAATTGGCACTAGCCTGAGTCCTTGCCAAACTGCCAAAAAGTTAAGGTATCATAAGGACCAGTAGAAATTTGCCATTTTTAAGGGTTTTGCTATATGTTATCATTATGAGGACTAGTGGACTAAATATGTTAGTTTCTATCGTTGGCATACGATATTCCCACAGAGTGAGTGAGCGAGTATTGTTTTACGCTGAGTTTAGCAATATTCCAGCAATATCACGGCGGGGGACACCAGAAATGACTTCACACATTGTACCAATGTCGGGAATCAAACCCAGGTCTTCGGCGTGACGAGTGACCACTAGGCTACCCGACCGCCCCTATTTTCACAGAGAGGTATTGTGTAGAAGTAAAAGATCTGACTTAAATGAGATTGTGAGGATCTAGACCAATAAACAACTTACAACTGCTGTGACACTGTTGCCATACTGCATGACAGGGGGGTTCCCATATCCTTGCTGGTAAACAGGGTACTGAGCGTAGCCTTGGACAGGCTGCCCCTGGGGTGGGTAGCCGGGGTTCATGGGGTACTGGGGTGGCACATCTACCATCGCCTCGGTGTAGGTGGGAGGGTGGTTCTGAGCTGTAAAGAAAATCACATTCAGCATGTTGAGGATGAGAAGAGCAACAGAGAGTGAATAGTATGGGCAGTCATTCAGTAAAAAAATAAAAAGTTGAAACAAAGGACAAAAGTATGCAATAATAGTAAAAAATTATGAATAAAGAATGAATGTTACAAATAAAGGTAATTATTTACATGCAAATTATGAATTCAAAATACAAACAATACCAATGAAACAACTCGCAAACAAAAGACGTCACACGTAAAGAAGGAGTGAGGGAGTTTTGTTTAACGCTGTGATGCACGTCTTAGACGTTTACCACTTCGGTGAAACCCACGAGCACGGGTATGGTGCTGACAAACCTAGAAACATAATCGGGGTTAACCAGGATTCGAACCCACAATCATAGGTTTCTGTCGTGCCCAAGGGACGCAACTCTGCACAGCGAATTGCGGCGCCTTAGATGACTGGGCCACCCATGCCCCCCGTAAAGAAGGAACAAAGTGTACTAAAAAAAGTCAGTGCACAAAAAGAACACTGCACTGCTAAAGGACAATATTGTCAACGAAGATTGCAACTTGTAAAACATTCAGAGCTTAATCAGCTTGTTCCACCGCGTATATGATAAATGCATGCCAAAGAGCTCAGTGTAATGTTCTGTGTATGATATGGTATTAGACTAACACCCAAGAGTTATCTTTTGTAAATCAGCTACTGGTTTGGAGCCTGATCGCTCTCATCAGACTGACTATTGTAGGTTAGGGAGCTCCTTATATACATGACTGTTACGATTCACTCATGGTTCCGATGAATCGAACTGTATCCATTCATGAATTGAATTTGTTGCCACTAGAGTCGAATATTGATAAATATGCAGTCATGTGTATTTACATACCCTGTCCCTAAAAATATCCATAAGAACATATTATACACACAGATTTCTTCCAAGTTTGTTTGTTTGTTGTTTAACACTCCACTCAGCAATATTCCAGCTATATGACGGTGGTCTGTAAATAATCCAGTCTAGACCAGACAATCCAGTGATTGACAACATGAGCATCGATCCACACAATTGGGATACGATGACATGCATCAACTAGGTCACCGAGCCTGACCACCACCCGATCCCGTAAGTCGCCTCTTACGGCAAGCATGGGTTGCTGAAGATCTATTCTACGCCGGATCTTCACAGGCCCAGACAACACTCTTAGTCTTAATTTAATTTGACAGTAAAGTGGAATAAAGATAAAACTTCTGTCAACCTCAGTGTATGCATGACAAGATCGTTTAATTAAGACATGTGCATCTAAATACATTCAGTCAAACTATTCCAATCAGACATTTTGTACCTATCTCTTAATTGAGACCTACTGCGGGTACCGGCTAAGGTCGGAAAATAGGTGTGTGGGTACCTGGGTAGCAAATTTGTACTTGTCCCAGCCTGAATTGAAACTAAGATTTTATTTGCTAATATACCTGGTTCATACATAAAAAGCTAATTAATACATTCATAACACAGGGATTAATCTGGACCTTCTCAGAGGTTAGTATTTGGTCCCAAGCCAGGAAACGTCAGTAAATATTGTGATGGCTTATTCGCGTCAATTGGTATTTTAGTGACATCAAGACCAGTAAAGTGGAATAGTTTTTGAGGGGTGGTTTTACATTATTTAATGTAATGTTAATAGATTTAAAAACACAATGTTAAAAGACCTCTGAATTGAAGAAAATGGCAACCAGGGTTAGAAATTGGCACTCCCCCGACAGTCCTTGCCACGCTGCCCAATAGTTAAGGTATCATAAACGACTCGTAGATATTTTTAAGGGTTTTGCTATATATATTATCATTATAAGGACTAGTGGACCCAAAATGTTAGTTTCTATTGCTGGCAACTTGAAAAAAAAAACCAACGATGAATAAAGTAACACTTTCCCCCCAGTTGTCTTGTCAAGGGTTCTAAGTTTGGAATCGTGGACAAAACCCCGTAACACAATTCTGTTTGATTGGGGGAAAAACACTCTCAGTGTTGGCAAATAAATATATAATTTACTTCGACCTCCTTCGAATCAAATGTTCTCTAGATGAATGTAGTCGTCGACACGTGTAGTGCTTTGTTTAATTTGTCGTAAGAAAATTTGGCCTAACCCTTTTCATTTGCCATAGACTACAAAATCAACGCATCTCTGTTGTGAAAAAATATTTTGATGTCATATGCTTCGTTGTTGATCAATCTGCTTTGGCAACAGTGACAATTATTTACCCGATTTTAGGTTGACGCGTAAACAGAATACTGTAATTTGATAAAATGATATACCTTCTGCGTGTTTTTCCATTTTGTCGCCTGCGATACCTCAATAATGGGTCCGTATGTATGGAAAACGTGAAACGACCTCCTAATCAAAACAAGAAGTCGTTTTAATGCTAAAGCGCCCTCTGGGTCTGCTCAACGGGAGATAAGTCTAATCTTCTACACCGCTTTACCATTCGCATCAGAAACACTCGCTTCTTCGGTCAACTCTACTATTGCAGTAACTGACACTAGCTATTCCATCAAGTTTATTACAATGGCCATTTCAACAACCACAAACCTAAGTAGTAACATTGTGAATGATTTCTTTATGACATCGCGAAAATTCATTATTCATAATAAGAAATCAAAGACGTATACATGTATACGAAGAAATATATAGATCGTGCATAGTCGATGTATGGCAACGGTAAATCCTAAATACATTTCCAGGGTATATATGTTTTCTTGGGTTTACGGAATGAAAAACTGTAAAAGATCTAAGTCAGAATATGATACAGTGACAGAATAATCCATATGAACGACAGAATATAAAAAGGAAATGACTGGTTTTGAAACAGCCTACAAAGAAGCGTCGGTAAAATCTGTCTCACAAACGGGATTCCAGCAAATGTCTGATGTATATGCATTCATTTGTCCAAGACCAGCTCCTGGATTACATTGCCCGGGCTAGGACAATGAGAACAGGACGGAAATATGTCCTAGGCCCCGTTCCACAAAGCGATCTTAGCGCTAAAATGGTCGTAACTCCCATACTTTAAACAAAGTCGTAGCCAAGATCGCTTTGTGGAACGGCGCCCTGTTCACATCAGTGTAGCGGCCATAAAATTTCCGAGTCCCGTGATGGGATTCGAACCACGGACCTTCTGATCAGGGGTCGACTCCTTGTCTACGTGACCAAAGAGGTTAGTCCCGTCAGCAAGCTGACAAGGTAAGGATGTCATCTGTGGGATGACACCACGTCCTGCTACATACTCCCCAATCAACAGAAGGCACGTCCCGGGCCGCATAGTAGAGTACTGAGACTTATTTTGCTCAAATTTAATATGAATGTGCTCAGCCCTACGTTCGGCGCCAATGTTGCGGCTATAAAATTTCCGATTCCCGTGATGGGATTCGAACGACGGACCTCCTTATCAGAGGTCGGACGCCTTGTACACATGACCAAAGAGGTTAATCCCGTCAGCAAGCTGACAAGGTAAGGATGTCATCATCTGTGGGATGACTCCACGTCCTGCTACATCATGCTGTAGGACTTAGTGTCAGATCGGGGAACCTAATCCGTACAACACTAATGGTATGAATACCTTTATTGGGGTATGTTATGTGCGAGACGGACTTGGCTTGAAAAAATATATGATATTGTGAACAATTTAAGGATGTACTGCCCGAGACAGATCCCGAGTGGACATCCCGACATTTAATAGACTGCCAATGGCAACCATGTACCGGAACGACAAGGCCATTCAGAGACCACATGCCGATATTCAACAACGAGAACTATGTCTAGTCACTAAGACAAAATTGTTATGGATGAGCAACTTCTTTATTACAATTGGGCGACGTTTCGGTGTAGATTCTAACATCGTTATCAAGCAAATGATGTACAAACTAGGTATGAGCATGATATATATATATATACATCAACATTATCTGTTATATAAACATCTATCTATTGTTATGTATATATATCATGCTCATACCTAGTTTGTACATCATTTGCTTGATAACGGTGTTAGAATCTACACCGAAACGTCGCCCAATTGTAATAAAGAAGTTGCTCATCCATAACAATTTTGTCTTAGTTACCATTCCAACTTCTAAATGCCACTCAAAGAAGTTATGTCTAGTCAGTCATAATCCCATCAAATTCAGATCCTTTTCTAAGATTCCATAACTAAACATTTTCTCAAGAGTTAACGTTTCGGAATAATGAGGTCGGTACATTCAGAACGTACTTCGCACACTGTTTATACCTGGCTGAACGTACCTAGCGGTAAAAGAGGCGATCGAATGGATAAAATGACCGAGAAATGTGATGAGTTTCCACCTATCACTGCTACTCAGAACAGTTTTAGCCTTCTAGACGACCGAGAGAAACACGTGTCTCCAATGTGTTTAACACATACCATTATGACGTCATAATTAACTATGACGTCTTGCGTAGAATGCAAGTTGTCATGGTGCAGTTAGATGACGTCACCACAAAACGGCCAAACAAACAAGTATGGCGGCCTTCATAATTATGGATTTTATTTCATAAAAAATATGGACAGATTAACACTACCGCGGTTGCAGAAGACCGTGGACACGGGGAAATGTCTGCCGGCGGGAGACAGTCTACCATCTTGGTCCAATCTACCATTGGACGCCAAATTCCCCATGGTACCTAACCCTATAGGAACACTCACACTGTTCACATCAAAATGTGGAACCACAGTAAGTATAACAGGATACCGGCATATGTTTGAAAATAAGCCAGGGTGCCGTTGTATAAAACAACCCTAGCACTACCACTGCCGTAAGTCTATGTTAAGGTATGGGAGTTGCGATCACCTTAGCGCTAAGATCGCTTTGTACAACGGCACCCAGTGTTTTGCATTATTTCCTCGAACGCCGTAATTACATTAGACCTCGTAGATTACAATTACATGCGTTTTCCAAATTTGGCATTAAATTGGCAATCTGGTGCCAATGTTATATTATATGGCGACTCAAATTTAGAGGACAGCGTCTATGAATTCATTTTTAAAGCTGTACAAAATTATTTTCATGCTAATTCATGCTTTTTGTCTCCAATAATGTTTGTTGTAAATGACACTTATGCAATGATCTATGGATCAACGAGTACATCTGAAAAGAAAAGAATTAAGTAAGTTCTTGTAGCTCTTTTTCGAATCACTATCAATTGTCCAAAAAAATATGTTTGAATGAAAGTAGAGACTGTATAGGGATAATATGCATAGACAGGTGTTCATAGAAATGTATGGGGACTTTGAGAATTTCAAACTTGGATTATATCATTAAATGATTTTCCTTTGAAAACTATATTACGACAATTGAAACTACATGTTTAAAGTTTCTCTTAATATATTTCAGAAATACCGCCGGAAGTCCAGTTCGGACTTTGACCTCACTGACCCACATGGGATGTCCATGTCGAGCGAGTACCATCCACTACACGACCCTCACCTTCGGTCTCACTACAGCGTCCCAAGGATGCGCAGACATCTTGTTCGCAACGGGTTTATAACCAATTCTGGAATGGTCATATGTAATTTGAAGGAGTTCAACAAGTACAGGCAGTACCTCCGTCGTATTTGCCTGATGGAGCTGGTGCGAGAACGGACTCACAGGGTGGGGAAATATGAGACATTTCTTTAGATAAATATTTTTTCTCAAAATATTGATTTACAATTGACTTCAAAATTCTTTTATAATTGGCATAAACGTTAAAATCGATGTGCTCACTGTTTAAGTCCGCTTAGCACACATGTTTTTAGAGTTTATGAGTGTCACAGACTTCCGTAGACTGAAACAAAGACGTATTTTGACAATTACAAAAAAGAAGTTAACTGGCATTTCAAGCAGAATTTTCAAAATATGTGTACTCAAATACCCAAGGGAATTAAAAATAATTTATACCCAAAGAAAACTAATAATACCCAGTGTGAATGGTAACATGTAAGTAAATACTCAATGGCTGTTTTTTGTGTCACTCATAACCGGTTGTTCCAATGAGTCGAGGCCGGCCCTGCTGTAACCTTCCTTACGTTTGTTCAGGAATCAAGCTACGGTATTGGTATTGGAGAGCGGGCGGCTGAGAACGACAGCAGCAGACGGAAGCCAAGATTTGCCGAGACCAAAAGAAGACAGATGGAGAAAATTGATGCCCAGAGAGCTAAGTAAGTGTCTACCTCTAGTTAGGTTCAGTTGTAGGCTTATTGCGGCCTAGTCTTGTTCATGTGAGGTAGTCTTATTCTGTTGTAGGCTTATAGAAGTCTAGTCTTGGTCTGTTGTAGGCTTGTTGCGCTTTTCTTGGTGTGTTGTAGGCTTATTGCGGCCTTGTCGTGTTCAGTTGTAGGTTCATGGCGACCTAGTTTTGTTTAGTTTGATCAAAGCCTTGACTGGTTGTGGCCTTATTGACGTCTAGACTGGTTCAGATTCGGCCTAATGGCAGACTAGTGTGGTTCAGTTGTGCACATAGAAAAGAGCGTGCACATAACACCCAAGCCACACGTGTATAGTCTGCTTCTTGAGAACTGAGCGGTCTGAGCGGGAATATGGTCATGCAAGAAACAGCAGATGGGCATACTCCACTGACAGTCACTTGAATTGAATTGAATTGAATCGTCTATGTATTCCAGCTGGCGCTCATTTGAACTTGATCTAAACATGTTCAGGGCACCTACACAGCAAGGTGCATCAATTACAGCCGCTCACAAACATGGCGGGTATGCCAACCAGAGCCCTCGCTATAGTGCCAGACCCTGACATAGCTCAAGATAATGGCAATGTTCATTTTGTACGAGGAGATGCGTAACTCCAAAGTGACGTACTTGCGTGTACCTTTTTAGACTTGTTAGAGAGCCCGAGGACTATTTGCGACGATTTAATGTGTTTACTATTTTACCTTGGACCTTAAGTACTGTCGGGTAATGATAAACGAACCCTTTGTACCACCAGCTGCAGTTTGTTATAATTATGTGGCATTATTAACGAGCCTAGGCCTCGAAGCTGCATGAGAGTTACGACTATCGGAGCGCTAAGACTGCTTTCTGACACGTGTCTCAGTAATCAAATCGCCAATGAGCGATCGAGTGAGTTAGGTTTAATGATACTTTTAACAGTATTCCATTTCTATCACGGCGTGTCAGGTTGACGTGGTGGGAAAGCCCGAAATAATGCAGGTCTTAGACGTTTGGTGCGACCCAAGAGCATGGTTTGGTGCCGACAAAGCAAGAAATAAAACCAGGGGATTCGAACCCATGATAATATTTTTCCTGCACGCATAAGGGACACAACTCTGCACATAGAATTGCGGCGCCTCAGACGACCAGGCTGCATTGACCTTCCAATGGCAATGACAATGGCAATGACAATGGCATTATCGGGACATTACAAGAAGATATTTAACTAGGTGATCGTAGAATAAACAATGTCACTGGCATTATAAGGAGGCATGCATGCTTCAGAAGTGGAGTTCTCAAGGTCGGATAATATAAATAGGGAGAAAATCTATCACCACGTGATGTGGTTATTTGGAAATGTTATATTAGGTAAACATTATGGGCTGCTCAGAAAAAGTAGGAGTAGGACTGTATTTTACCTTTTTAGTTAACAAAACTGATTCGGGAGGAACACTTTACATTGTCATCAAGGATATACAACACACACAACTGGCCATGTGCAAACATTGAACAAGGCCCTTTAACCAGTCGTCACACATTCTATTGTATGGATAATAGAGTGTGCTTCTTCTGAAGCGGGAAATTTGAAAATATTTTCTGTTGGCAATACAAATGACCAACGCGCAGGAGCCCGATGTCCGAAAAACACTTCCTGTCTTTCAGCCTGATATGCTTTAATACTAGTATTTGGCAGGCAAAGAAGATATTTCTTTTGTAGGAAATACGATTGCCACAAAACAAATGTAAGGTATATTTCCATTTACCTTGCACCATATTAGACACTTTCATAGTCGGTGCCTTTGGATTTTGGTTTAAAATGTTTGATGCCTAGAAAAACATTGTGATGGGATTAGCTTAACATTGAAGTTAAATGTGTTTCCAGGATCAAAGATGTGCTTACACGCCACAAACGCCCAAGGTCGACCGACATGTTGAAACATTGTGATAACTATGTTGCGAAATTCATTAAAAAGCTTTTTCCACGTTGTCGGGGTAGTTTGACTTACAATCAACCAGGTCACGCAATGTTGTTTGTTTGTTGTTTAACGCCGCACTAAGTAATATCCCAGGGCAGTAACATGTCCCGAGCGATTACATTACATAATGTTTATATTTATAGATGCATTTACAAACTCAAGTGGCTTACAGTGACATTCATAAATATGCAGTTACTCATTCAATCAATTCACTTCCTAGGACAAGCACTTGGCCCAGAGTTCGCGCTTGCACTTCTAAAGACTCTCTTATCAGTTTTGAGTGAGTGAGTGAGTGTGGTTTTACGCCGCTTTAAGCAATATTCCAGCAATATCACGGCGGGGGACACCAGAAATGGGCTTCACATGTCGGGAATCGAACCCGGGTCTTCGGCGTGACGAACTAACGCTTTAACCACTAGGCTACCCGACCGCCCCTTATCAGTTTTGAGGACGTAAAGGGTGCCCTGTACAAATGTTTCACAAGGCGCCTTGAGAGTCATCGTTAGGATGTTGAGTTTATTTCTACGAGTATGGTGAAACTCCTCGGGACCTGGGTACTTATTTACCTCAACGGTTAGGTCATCCGAAAAAAAAAGTATTATTATGTTTGAAATGGAAATTATCTGGGCCTGTAAGAAAGGTGTGATTATTGACCAAGATGAGCTACAGCCATGTTGGTTTTAGACAGGAGATGATGGCGAAGTTGAAGGGCGAACAGATGGAGAGAAAGAGGCGAGAACAGAGAGAACGACATGCGGATATGATGAGGAGAAAACAGGACGAAGATGACAAAAGGAGGGACACATTGCTCAGGAACGCCGAGCAGGTGAGGGTGATTGGTGGGGTGGGGTGGGGTGCGGTGCGGTGCGGTGCGGTGCGGTGCGGTGTATTGTCCTTGTGATGGGGTTTTGCTGGAAGACGTGATTACCTGAATCAGATGACTGATCTTCTCGATGATACAGTGAATCTCATCTCCATTCTATCATCATATATACCTTGAACTCATTCACCACTATAACAAACTATTAAATTACTCTCCTCAGCGAGGGTAATGATGACGTCACTTCCGAAACGATTTGTTTGTTTGTTGTTTAACGCCGCACTCAGCAATATTCCCTTCCGAAACGAAGCTAACATTGTATTTTATGCCTGGCTGTTATATCTGGGTTAGTCGTGGCGCGTTTGTCGTTGCGTGACATCACTTGTATTAGTATTTAATTACAGATTCAAATTAATAGCATTTGCTTGCAAAAGGTAAATATATATTTCAAATTCACATACACTCCAACAATCAAACAATGCATCTCCATCTACACATACACCTGTTTTAACACCGTGGACTTGTTGTCACGATTACGTTGATTTAAGTGTTTACTCATTCGAAAATAGAACAAATATTGATTTAAAATAAGCTTTTTAAAGTCAACACGCCCCCAGGATAATGATGACTATTATGATGACTTCATACAAAGAATGTCGCTTGAAGGCTAAGGTCTCCTTATACATTCACGTTACTCTTACTCGGTCGTAATACGCAGTTCAATCACGTTGCCACGGAATGTGTTTTTTTCTGAGTACAAAAGCAGCATCTATTACGTCAGTTTTACCATTTTCTCTTCATCTGCAGACTGAGAGGCGGAACATGAATCTACTGCGGAAATGGCGACGACAAGATCGTGACCATGCTACGAGAATGGAGGAGAACAGGCGACAGCGGGAATCGGAACACCAGAGAAGGGTGAGGGCTTCACAGGAGTAATTATTGAAATAAATAAAAATGTTTAAAAAAATATAGAAACTGATTACGAAGAGTTTCATTGTGTAAAGGATTTGTTGAGCTTTAGAACGAATTACCACACATATGTGTTTGAAAGGCCATAGGAAGTTATGTCCTGACTTACGCTTGAGTACGTCAATTTCGCCGCACATCCAATACGAACAACGGGTACCTGTTATATTATGTGTTTTAGGCTTATTCCTCGAGGAAAACGGCTTCATGTACCCTCTGTGTGGCCGTGTATCCCGTGTCGACAAGGGTGCGCAGCGACACACAGGGTAAATAAAATCTTATTACTCGAGAAATAAGCCTATAAATATAAGCCTATATATAACAAACGTGAGCTGCTGACGAAATGTTGAGGCTCTGTGCATCACGTACATATAAAGTCAATGTAAATATACATTCCGCGACGCCTTGTCGCTGTAAGGAGCTAGAAGACGGTGGCGGAGAGGGGTACATGAACATCTGTGAAAACGCATCTGACCAATAAAATTCGAGTAGTTTACATGGTAGGTCAAATCAAACGGGGCTTATTGGTGTGAGTGAGTGAGTTGGGTTTAAAGCCTCTTTAAAAAGTATTTCGGTTATATCATGACGTGGCAGCTTGAAGCGGGAGTAAAGCCCGAAGTGATGCAGGTCTAAGACGATTTCCACTTTGGTTAAACCCAGGACCACGGATATTGTGCTGACAAACATAGAAACACAATAAGGACGAATCCGCACTTATTAGGTTGCCGTCGTGAAAGTGTATCATCTGGCTCAAAGGTCTTAAACAAATTCGAGTTCGATCTCATGCTCAAATCCGGTTTCCTGCTCAACAAAAGGTTATGTTTGTTGCTTTGTTTGTTTGTTTGTTTAACGCTGCACTACTCCAGCTATAAGACAGTGGTCTATAAATAATCGATGCTGGAGCAGGCAATCCAGTGATTGACATCACGAGCATCTTTCTACCTTATTTGGATACGGTGCCATGCATCAACCGATCCAGGGATCCTTATCATCCGATCCCGTTAGTCGCCTCTTATTGCAAGCATATGGTTTGCTGAAGATCATCCAATCAGGATGTTCATGGGGCAACAAGAGGAAGGTTATGAATAATCAGGGTACGTTTTCAAGGACTGGGCCCCGTTTCACAAAGCGACGACTTTCGTAAGTCTGTGTTACCATCGCTTTGTGAAACGGGGCTCTGACGTCAGCGTGCTCCGACGTCGTGGGTCGTTGAACACGAAATAAATCACTGGTTTGCTTGGTCCAGACTCGTATTGGCGACCGTTGCTAGGGCTAGGACGGGTAACTCGGGTACCCGAGTCGGGTGGATACCGAGTAGGACCCGGGTATCCACGGGACTACCCGGACCCGTGGTTAGTCATGTGATATATTGTTTAATGACAAAAACTATCTCGAACTCTATGGTTACACTACAAGCCACTAATGTTCGCATTTCTTTCTGACTATGCACACATTCCTTCTGACTTTTCATATGGTTGAATAAAGATGTAACTTAAATCAACTTCAGTGTATGCATGACCAGATCGTTTAATACATGTATGTAAATACGTTTTGCAAGTGCTGTGGTAAAAAATCCCAATCGGACATTTTGTATCTCTTGAGACCTACAGTGGGTACCCGGGTGGGGTGGTGTAATAGGGGGGTGGGTACCCGGGTGGGGTGGTGTAATAGGGGGGTGAGTACCCGGGTAGTAAATTAGGACTTGTCCCAGCGTTACACATCAGTTGTTCAGCGTGTTGTTTCTGTTGACATCCATTTTGTCTTCTCAGAATAAAGATTCGTGGGAGACGAGAAAGCGTGTCCAAAGGGAGAGGCTTGACAGAGAGGCGGACATAAGGGAACAGTTGAGACTCGCTACTGAGAGGGGTATTGGTCATCGGAATAGACACCTCGCGAGGCTGAGAGGTGACCAGATGTGTGAGTAGAAAGTCTCTCATCTTATAGATCTCACTCTGATCAGATCCACACAAGGCGAGACATCTTTTGAGACATAGATATAATCAGATGTGGGAGTAAATCAAAACAAGGCGACACAAGTCATGAGATACCCTTGCAGATGTGGTTCCCATTGCCTCATATTGGGAGCAGACAAAAGTTGCGTGGCCAGTCTGTGTGACGATTGTCCGTCATCATACCCCCACAGGCGTGGAGCGGTGTTCATCCTGTCAACTTCTGGTTTGTCTGACAGACAGCCTTGATACAGCTAGAATATTGCTAATTGCAGAGTAATCAATAATTCACTGACCTACTCATGAGTAGATTGAAGGGAGACTACTCGTGCCCGGAAGCTGATATAAAAGTAGAGCAGAGAGAAACTGTACCTCTCACTTAATGTTATCATATGTTTGATTTTTAATGGAAAATATCTAAAATTAGCGATATTATATCCCCAAAATAACTGTACTGTCGCTAAGTCAGCACTCGAAGAATACATATAAATGGTTTTATTTTTAATAATATAATTTGAAATAATTTTTTCACAAATCATAAATATAATTTTGCATAATGCTCAACGGATGATGGGTGTCTTAGATATCTACCCGTGAAGAGCCGGGTTAGATTTGCTCTTCAGCAACCCATGCTTGTCGTTAGAGCGACCATAATTGTCGTAAGCGGCGACTAACGGGATCGGGTGGTCAAGCTCACTGACTTGGTTGATGCATGTCATCGATCCCAATTGCGTGGATCGATGTTCATGATGACAATCACTGAGTGCGGCGTTAAACAACAAACAAACAAACTTAGACATCTTATTTTTGAAAATCAATAAATTAGCTTTTGTCGACACCAATTTACTTTTTAAACATGGTGGGGGTCATGTGGTTGCAAATTCATTTCTTACCCCGGTCTTCATTGAACGAAGTTATTTCTACCCAGCCACAAACTATTTTTTTACAAACTGTTGCAGGAGTGAGTGGTGGTTTAACATAATCAAATTTAACAACAGTTCTTTCAATTTTCCATTACATAAAATAAAAAAACTGGGTATGCTTTCTTTGAGGAAAAACCACAGGAATGAGTAGAAAATCTACTGCTTTTCGAATGTACATCTCCATTATTCACTCTAATGTATGTATAACATTGTGAACTTGATACAGGATTTAAATCCCTCTGAATACTGTATCATTAAGGCCTTTATTTTTATTTGTTGCCTTTCGGATTTTTTTCTCTCAAAATGTTTTTGTCGGTGGTCAATATAAAAAAAAACATGATAGAAAGTAAGAAAAACGTTTGATGGTCAAATCCTAATTTCAAGTGTATACTTTCTTTTGACCGGCAGTTTACTTGACAAATGATTACGGGTTTTTGAGCATTAACTGTTGTGTCAGCCCGACAGGGAAACATTTTTTTCTTTATTCAGAAACGTGATCAGGCTGTGCGTTTATGAAAACAAATCACCTTAACCTGGAATTTTGTATTTGTTTCCCCCACCTTTATGCTTTTCAGGCGAGACCCTAAACCAAGTAATGATAATTACAACGCCTTACGTCATGGCGTGTCCTCTTAACATTGGAGGCAGAAAGATCATAGGTAGAGATAACGCTATGTTGGTATAGGAATCAGGGGAGATCACTCTTATTCAATAGAAAATGTGTTTTTCAGCGAGACTACAACACCTTAAGGCGTCTGCGCGTGCCGCACGTGAAGAACGCAACAGGATATGCGAGGCTCGTCTGGCCAGAAGGATAGCGGCGGCTGCCCTTAGAGGTAATTCCCATAATAATGACTGTATGTGGTTAATATTCTGTTTTATTTTGGAAATAAACGACGAGTAGGATTTGTTAACGTACAATAAAACACTGCATGGAGAATAAACCATGAGGGGCGCAGCCTCGAGTAGACAATTCTCCTTGCAGTGTTTTATTGTGCGATAAAAGCGACCACCAGTCGTTTTTTTTCCCCCGCCACGAAGTACCTTTTGGTATTTTGGAATTTTTGAAGAAAATATGTTTTTCGAGTTTCCTCAGCAACGATTTTGACTTGGACTGAAAATGGCAGTAGTTCTGTTCCCCGAGGGCCAATGCCTTGCACACAACCGGACATGTCATATTGGCGCGGGATAAGAGTATTTCATGCTTGTTCCTTACATGAGATATCAACATTTTGTACTGCCCCTTTAAGGATGTTAATAAAATGTACAAGCTTTAAGAATCTTTATCCGTATTTCAATAATTTTGACTCCCTGAATACAATCCGACCTCGGCAATGTCGAACAAGTCCATTTTATGAACAGGGGGGGGGGGGGGGAGTTTGGTATTTCCCAGATATTCTCACAATTTTCACGTCGGTTATCTGTATCTTTTCTCCGAGTACCGATTGTTATATATCTCCCACTTTAGGTGCGATCGTTTATCTTGGTAGCCCAGCAACATCTATGGGGAGCAACTCACCGGACATTTTCCTTCTAAAAACATAACGTCGTCCAATTTATGACGTCATCAAGTTGCGAGCGCATGTTCGGATCTCCAGAACATTTTTTTATCGTGAAATAAAACACGCTTCGTTCTTCATTGTTCTTTGCGATGTATTGCGTAGCTCTCTTATATATGGTATTCATAACGCACTATTCGCACAGAGTGGGATTGAAGGCCACTATAAACAGTATTTCGCTTTCATATCACCGATACCAAAAGACGTTAAAAGATGGTACTTGTTGTTACCCTGTCTGGCGCTCGGCATTAAGGGGCTAAAACAAGGACTGGTCGGCTCGGAGTCAGTATACTGTGTCTGAGTGGGTTATTCATGTTAAGCTGCGGCATGGTATCTCAGTGAGCTAGCACTATAAATCGGCATCAGTCCGGACTAGTACAAGCAGCCACACAAACACACACACGTACACGCACGTCGCTATATAGGTGTAATAATCTTGGACGCGACGTTAAACACCATTTCACCTCACCTCACCTCATATCACCGCGTGTCAGCTTAAGACGTTCAGTGTTTAGTGAAACCCTCTGACAAACCAAGGATCGGGAATAATAATCATGACGAATATGGGATTAGAACCTACGGCTCAGGAAGGCAACTCCCACAACTAAACACGCGTGCCACACGTGCTCCCAGCTCGGAATGACACACATTTCTATGTACGTAATACTTATAAATTCCAGAGATGGTGGTTTAGCTTGTCGGTCACCGACTTACGCTTGAAGACGACACTGAACACCGAGCATCTATAATCAGATTAGCCAACAATAACAACATTGACGCAAAACTGTTCAATTCTGTATGGAAGAACTACAAGGCCTACATCTAACGTTATACATAGGCCCTAACAAACTGGGAACAGGTTAAATATAAGAAACTGTGTTGTTTAACATACGATCTCCTCATGGGATCTACGATCCATATTTACAATAATTAAAGTTCTGTTTGTATCTAGGACGCGAAAAGACCGAGCGCCTTTTGAAACCGTAACCTTAACCTTGACCTCTTGATGGCCACCTCCACAAAAGCGTAACCTTGACCTCTTGGTGGTCATATTGGAGACCGGGTTTGATTGCCCACATTCTATGTGTGAAGCCCATATTGTGTCCTCAACCTTAGCTACCTTGATGTTAGGGTATGATCACCTTAGCACTGAGATTGATTGAACAACGGCACCCTGGAATAGAACCCCAAGTTATCCAAAACCTCACGCGCTTACTCAGTTATGGAACATATTGTTGTTTGTATATCTAGTGAAGGTGAGTTTCGTGAAGGTCAAGCTTTGCTAAGGTCATGATTCAGGTGACCTTCGTCTTAAGGTAAACCCGTTTCACAGAGCAACTTATCTCGATCATAAGTTGTCACATGTGTTCATGTGAATGAGATTTAGATTTGTTCATTATAATACTCCGTGGTGTAGACTTTAAGAAACACTCAAAGCGAAACGTGTTTATCTTACATTTGAACACGAGCAAGTATTTTGCCTGGACTTGTTTTCCCATGAGACGTATTTAAAGATGTGGATAAAGACGTGTATAAGACGTGGATAAAGACGTATAAAGACGTGGATAAAGACGTGGATAAAGACGTGATAAAGACGTGATAAAGACGTTGATAAGGACGTAGATAAATACGTGATAAAGACGTTGATAAGGACGTAGATAAAGACGTAGATAAGGACGTAGATAAAGACGTGGATAAGGACGTGGATAAGGACGTGGATAAAGACGTAGATAAAGACGTAGATAAGGACGTGTATAAAGACGTGGATAAGGACGTAGATAAAGACGTGGATAAAGACGTAGATAAAGACGTAGATAAAGACGAAGATAAGGACGTGTATAAAGACGTGGATAAGGACGTAGATAAGGACGTGTATAAAGACGTGGATAAAGACGTAGATAAGGACGTGGATAAAGACGTAGATAAAGACGTGGATAAAGACGTAGATAAGGACGTGTATAAAGACGTGGATAAAGACGTAGATAAGGACGTGGATAAGGACGTGTATAAGGACGTGGATAAAGACGTAGATAAGGACGTGTATAAAGACGTGGATAAAGACGTAGATAAGGACGTGGATAAGGACGTGTATAAAGACGTGGATAAGGACGTAGATAAAGACGTGGTTAAGGACGTGGATAAAAACGACAAGAAAAAAACAAACAAACCAAAAAAACAAAACAACAACAAACAACAACAAACCAAACCAAACAAAAATCGAACAACAAAACAAACAAACAAAACAATCAAACCAGTTTGAAACAACGTTAAGAACATGGAATGAAATAATTCCATGTTCCCCCAATATGCAAGAGGAAAATATATATCTCTAAAATATAAATTGGAAACAGGAACTGCTTGTAGTAGAACCGAGGCCGGTGCCAGTCGAAATGAGTGCGCGTGGATAATGGTCAATCGGAGCTTACATACCGTTACCGTATACCGTTAAGCTACGCCTACTGTCTACCTTCTAAATACACTGTCTACGTATATTACAAACGTGCCTTCGGCAAATTGTCTTCTTTATCAGAATGGCTCCACACTGAAGGAAGTGCTGGACACGTTCTTTTTACACCATCAGTTTACTCTTTCTGTTGGCTTGACGTGCGCGTTGGTCCGCTCATCATGTGTTCGAATCCTAGATTCACCCACATTTCGATCCCTGGTATGTGAACAGCAACGTGGTAAACTTATACTACCCGTGTCAAGAGACAAACATTATGTTTTTTTCAGATTTACGGGTTATTTTGAGTATTTGATGCCCAGAATATAATGTGATACCAACCACGTTTTTCAAATGTAGAAATGTAAATACATAATCAGTTACATTAACAATTCTGAAAACACAAAATATTTGTCCAAATTATATCATGCAAAAGTTATGATTATTTTTCAGATGCATTCTCTCTTTACAGTTTAGAATTTGGGTTTTAACCAAAATCCTGTTAAAAGCGTAAGACCCATCTCACACTCATTGAAGGCTATAACATCCAAGTACATACTTCAACATAGGCGCAGTGATATGGCCGTTCTAGAGAGAGAGAGAGAGAGAGAGAGAGAGAGAGAGAGAGATCTTGAAATGTACAATGGCTCTCGGCACTAGACACACAGGACACCGGTCAGAACGCACCTAGCACGGACGTGTTCATAATTAAACAAGGCACCAATTTAATCAGGAGTCTAGGAGGTAAACCTTGACTAGTCCACTAAGCTTCGGGCAGGCCAGATGTATGTCCGGCTCAGGAGCAAGCGCTGCTAATTATGAAAGAAGTCACTACCTTACTTAAAACAAGGCGATTTCAATGAGCTGAAGTGTTTTGTTGTTTAGGTGATAACGGTAAATTAGAACGAATGGTACAATTTTGAAACACGATAAAAAAAATATCATTTAGTGAATGTTTGACGGAACATAATACTCCTTCTATCGATTTTTTCTGTTTTGTTTATAAAATCTAGTTAAATTTGTATTTGCTTTCCACGGAAAGAGCCAATATACGGCTAAATCATACTGTTTTATATTAATTATAATGAAATTGTAAAAGGAACGTGTGGTTTTGAAGACATATGTCAATCACCTTAAGTATTGAAGTACGTATTTGGAATTATTATATTATTATAATGACTATAATTGAAGGTTGCTTTTCGGAGAACAAGATGAAGTAATTATTTCTTAAGAAATCAATAAGGAGTACGTAGGTCATCTATCCGCGTCATTCTTGCATAAATCGATAGATCATTACTGTTTGTGAGTTGACAGCTACAATGAACGGTAAAAACATTCTTTCGCTAGAACTGACTTTTTGTCAACAGTGTTTTATCTTCAGTCGAGCTGGAATGATGTGCAAGACTTTGACAAACATGTACTATGACAGCTGCGTGCCTCGACCGGGATTATGATCGATTGCACCTTGACATAATTACGAAATATACAACGAAATGCAGCACACAATAGACTTCCATTTCGCCTCTGGATTGCAATAAACAACTACATATTAACATTTTGTGACATTCGGACACTGATGTTAAGTTCTGGTTCGTTTCGCTGTCATGTGGTGGTTGTGAAGGTATTGATCGGAACTGTTGGAGAATAAATGTCGTGATGACTACGCAATAACTAACCTTTAGGAAACCTCCGCTGGGTTTTTATCCACTTGGTAAATATACTTTGCGTATGGCAAGCGTGATGAATGGTGTTTGAATTATGGGCAAACTATTGGCAATTTATTACTTTATGTAATTATGTTTTCCTTTTTATTACTTTCATTTATATCAGACTTTTTTATGCATATTCATTATTATTTTTTCAATGTTGTACCAATCATGACGGAATTGCAGAATGGCCCACTATTCTTAGTATCGGTCGAAAGCATAAATAGGAGATGGTTTGGGCATAATGGCGAGTGAGTGGTACATGAATTTGTGACCATGAACTCTCGCTATGACCTTGGCCCCGATTCACAAAGCGTTGAAAGAGCTGCGGCGGACATACATTCTTTTACGTAACAGTAACGTAAACGTTCGACAAACGTCAAGTCAGAATCTGTTAACACAATGGAGTCGGGTTTTCTCATGTTTTAAAAAAGATCTCCGAGGCGGTAAATTCGACCCACTTGGGTACAGGTTCATAGCTTTTACCAAAATATGTTTTCAGTCGAAATATTTGGTGTACTTTTAGAACGAAGCTTCGGACTCCATTAGAACGTAACTGTTGGGCGAATCGCAGCTAGCGATTAATCAAAGCTGAGCGTACAAAGCTGCGGTTTCTCAGCTATAAAAGAGTTTGATTGAAATCAGGTAACCTTTTCGAAGAAATTATTTTTTCGGCCATACAATGACACGCAGCAATCTGATCATTGAGCAATGCGAATCGGCGTCAGCCTTTGCAACATCAGAATATGCATGTTTACCTTATAGCAATTACACCAGCACAGGGCATGTATTATATTCAGCTACCTTTAAATATAGTTTTCTTTCATAAATGTGGAAAGGACAAAAAAGCAGAATTTTCTTTTTGAAAAAAACTTGTATTAAAACCGCGTCGGCATGAATCCTTGCTTTTTAAAAATCTCCTGCCTGTTTTTTAGTTCATTGCCCAAAAAGGCTTTTGATTGGGTGACAAAAAACTTTCTAACCATCCGTTCTTATTTCGTTTGCCAATAAGTTTTTTTTGACCTTATAAGATGGAGGTTGAAACATGCTCCTGGGTCTACGTAGAGGGCAAGTGACGCCTTTGAGGGATGACCTTCTCACTGTGAATCTAAAGCTCTTATAGCTAAAGTGACCTTTCTCGGTTGATTATTAATTACCCTTTAAGTCTCTGATAATCAAACGAGCCCGTCAAATCGTATCTGGCCCTAAGAGTTTGAATCGATTGAATCTGCAGTTGTTTGTCATTTCAGCAAATCATTGCCGTAGAACTACAATGGCATTTCAAACGCGTCTGTATATCTTACTTCAAGGACTACTAATGGGGGTTTGAGATGTTTATGGTGCGAGACAAACCCCTTTAGCTCTCCGCCGCCACTTTAGTCACATCATTGTCAAGTCTCGCCCAGTTAAGTCCATTTTTCGATATTCCCCGAGAACACCGCTAGGTGGCCACCGTAGAATCGGCTTGAGGCGACAGTGCGAGTGAGAGAAGATAGGCTGGACGCCGCGGTACCTACTGCTCGCTGTTTGCCATACATGTACTGAGTGACTGAGCTGTATTTGTGTTTTCCAGCACAACGGAGGTACCGTTCGAAGTGTAACCGGCCTCCTTTCAGAAGCGAATGGACTTTACAGCAAGTTCTCCGTCGACTCAGCTTTGCCGATCTCGTCACAGGTAAGATTTAGGGAGTGTGGAAGTGACATCTGTCTTCCTGGTGCTCATTAGAAAAGGTTTAAAAAACAGGTGGAAAACAATTCTTAAGTATTTGTGTTGAAGATTACAAGTTTTGTAAAGAATTCAACACTGTTGCGATGGCATATGGCTTATTATTATTATTATTATTATTATTATTTCCCTCATCCGGACGGCATTGTTGACGTCATTCGAATCTTATTGTGACACGAGGTCGGAATGACGTCATACTAGAAACGACGTCATGGATGAAGATTGTTGACATCATTCAACATATTGTGGTTCTGCTGCTGTTGCGACTTGCTGTCCTTATACGTAAACACTAAAATTCGTCTCTGTATGTAGACATCTTCTTCGGTAATAAATAGAGGTTATCACGCGAGTGTGTTTGGGGATGGTAAATATCCTGCATTAGGAATAAACATTGTATTTAGCGAGCCTTGGCGAGCTAAATACATAGTGTTTTTTCCTAATACAGGATATTTACCATCCCCAAACACACAAGCGTGATAACCTCTTTATCATATAATATCATTCTTTAATTCTGTGCTTCAAAATCGCTTTCCCTCTCTCACAAACATTACCGAAACATTGCGAGTTTTCCTGGAATGCGCGCATTAATATTTATTACGTCACAGGGTAAGTGATGTGTCAGTCGGACAGTGACAGTAGCCAATATAGTTCCAACTGTTTCTTATACAGTGGCGAAGCAACATATACGCAAAACAACAATTGTTTTTAATTGCCTTTCGCGGCAATCCATCGGTCTGTCCGCTAGAGTAACTGCCCTTTGTCAAAGGGAAGCTACTCTAACCCTAGTCTATGAGACGTCACGGCCACGGTCAGACGTTGTTGACAGTCGGTCTGTCCTGTCATTACAATAAGAAGTGTAGTCAGATGTACACACAGCGACAAAACGAAACAAGGTAACAATTCAAACATATTTCCGTCAAATCCAACTATTTTAATTTGTGGAGGAGGTTTCAAGCCGCAGAGGTCTACAAGCACAGATGTGGCTACTGATCCCGCTTGGCTAGGCCTCGTGCCCTCGCCAAATTGTTTCGAAATTTATATCTCCAAAGTTGACAAAACTTATAAAATGCCTTAGCTACGTCACAGTTAGACACAGATTTTCAGTATATTAGACTGTCTTTTTGATAATGATAGCAATTATCCCTGTAGTTTATCCAGATTCCCGATGGTTAATTCTGACTCGATCGCCGAATGAAAAGGGCGACGCCATGTTTGTTTATAAACAATTAAAGTAGTCCCTACTTGACCTTTGATATTTGCATCTCTATCCGCATATGACCCCAACGGATATCGTTTTTATCCGTTGGCTTTATCCTGCCGAGAAACCTACCCATTATATGATAAATAGAACATATCATTATATGAGTGTTCATGTCATACTATGTTTACGAGTTTACGCTCGCTCTCGCTCGTGAAATACCGGAATTAAGACACTCGTCTCGTAACCATAGTATGACATGAACACTCATATAATATCCTCTATGTAAACTCGGGGATAGATATAACCGGGTTCATAAAACGATACGCGCACTTGAGCAAATATCACCCACGCGCACCAGTGTGTTGTTTACATCATTCGGATGGTATGATGACGTCATTTGATTCTTATTATGACGTAAGGCTGGAATGATTGCACACTATGATTGTTGACGACAATTGTGTTCTAAGACGGCTGTCGTCGTCAGTGCACTTTTCTAAAGGGGAGCTCCAAAGAATTAAGAAAGAATGGGTAAAAACATTATTACAGTCGCATGTGTGTCATACTTCTTTACGAAACTTGCTAAAGAATAAATGCATTACACTCGCTCTCACCCGGGCAATGCAAGAGACTCGTTTCGTGAAATCAGTTTGACACACGTGGTCGTATAATAATCTGAGATATGTGATATCACTTTTAGTCATGGCAGTCATACATTATCGTTCAGAGCAGGGTTACATCACTCCCTTCAGGTTTAATGGGGTAGCCCATAGGTTGACGCGTCAACTGGTTAAGATGATGACTGGAGTTCGACTCCAACACGGGTTCATTGTGTGACGTCCATTCCGGGTGTCCCCAGTCGTGATGTTGGTGGAAGATGCTGAAATCGGATTGGACTGACAACAGCACGTAGGCACGCAACGAATGCACGTCTTCCTTGTAAGCGCCTAAGATCGATTGTAACAGTCGTGATATGGATTGAAGGTGCTTTAAGCGGCATAACGCCAATAACTCATAATATGTTCACTCAGTTTATATGATTACTTAACATCACCTGGGCCCACTTGCAAATAGCAACCTCAGTGACAATCGATCATAGACGGTGACAAGCTCCTTACCTAAGTCTTATTCCACTGACTCAAACCGATCTTGATTTTAAGACTGCTCTGATGTAATATCGCGAGCTTAGCTAAGATCGAAAATGGAAACGGCGGAGCTACAAGTATCTAATACTTAACTTAGCGCATATCTTGCTGCGCATTTCCACAGAGGAACCGGTTACGATGTGTCACATGTACCTCCCTCCATCGCATTTGTTTGAAGGAGACAACTACGAGGATGATGGCATAGGACGTCTTTCTGTATTAATATTGTCGTGATTTAGGAATCGTGAGTTTGATATTGCACCAAGAGATATACCCATGTTTTATGAAAATATTGAAATGCGAGTGAACCCATCTATAAATTTGGCCCCTTATTAAGTGCGAGGTTTTATGACATTTTTCGTTCCATTATCGCAACTATTGTGACAGCTAACTTTTGGTGCTACGTATGATGTTGTATGACTTGATCAAATTATTTAGCATTTCATTTTGGCAGCATGTCAATACCCGATGGATCAAGTTGCATGAGAACATACATGCATGTGATTTTGCTGCCTCCGTCAGGAATTGAGACCAATTCTCATAAGACATGATGGTAAAAATATCTTGAGAACAAGGACCGTTGAATATGAGACGTACATACCCTTATTTGCAAGTGAGGATAAAATGCATTATTTAAATAACCGATATATACACAGGACGACGTGCATTGGTTGCGTGCCTACGTACTGTTCACGTCCAACCCCATTACTTTCCCGCGCCCGTTCCACAAAGCTGTCTTAGCGCCAAGATGATCGTAACTACCATACTTTTAACATAGGATTACGATAGACGTAGCGCTAAGACCGCTTTGTGGAACGGGTCCCAGGTCATGTATGCATGCTGATGTCGAGGTATCTGACGAATTGTGTAACTTAAATTTTTCCGTTGATGTGATTTGTTTTAAAACTGATAGTCTCTTGTTAGAAAAACTGTTTTGCTTGAGGAGGGCTTTAATTGTTTTGGGTTTGGTCGCAGCTGTTACAATATTATTGGTATTATGTTATGCAATGTTATCAAGCACGAAATCTAATGTGCCCAAGGGAGCAGTTAGCTTTTTCGTGCGCACTGTTCCAGAGATCAGATCATAGCGGTATATCGTAATACCACTGTTTCACTACGGTCTGGGCCAGGCAATAATATGACTGACTGTTTGATACATCAGAGGCAGATATTTGTAACTTTAGTAAGTCTACGTTAAACTAATGGAGTTACGAACGTCTAAGCGCAACGACGGTCGTAAGTCTATGTTAGTCTTAAAGTATGGGAGCTACAAACGTCTTTACGCTACGGCTGTCGTAAGTCTATGTTAGTCGTAAAAGTATGGGAGCTACAAACGTCTTTACGCTACGAGTGTCGTAAGTCTATGTTAGTCGTTAAGTATGGGAGCTACAAACGTCTTTACGCTACGAGTGTCGTAAGTCTATGTTAGTCGTTAAGTATGGGAGCTATAAACGTCTTTACGCTACGAGTGTCGTAAGTCTATGTTAGTCGTTAAGTATGGGAGCTACAAACGTCTTTACGCTACGAGTGTCGTAAGTCTATGTTAGTCGTAAAAGTATGGGAGCTACAAACGTCTTTACGCTACGAGTGTCGTAAGTCTATGTTAGTCGTTAAGTATGGGAGCTACAAACGTCTTTACGCTACGAGTGTCGTAAGTCTATGTTAGTCGTAAAAGTATGGGAGCTACAAACGTCTTTACGCTACGAGTGTCGTTAGTCTATGTTAGTCGTAAAAGTATGGGAGCTACAAACGTCTTTACGCTACGAGTGTCGTAAGTCTATGTTAGTCGTAAAAGTATGGGAGCTATAAACGTCTTTACGCTACGAGTGTCGTAAGTCTATGTTAGTCGTTAAAGTATGAGAGCTACAAACGTCTTTACGCTACGGGTGTCGTAAGTCTATGTTAGTCGTTAAAGTATGAGAGCTACAAACGTCTTTACGCTACGGGTGTCGTAAGTCTATGTTAGTCGTTACGTATTGGAGCCACAAACGTCTTTACGCTGCGACTGTCGTAAGTCTATTTCAGTTGTTAAAATTATGGGAGTTACGATCGTCTTAGCGATACAACTATCGCAATTCCATGCAAACGTATGGGGGTTGCGATGTTCATAGCACAACCACTGTCGTACATCTACGTTGCCGTATGGGGGTTACGATCGCCTGAAGTTGATCACTTTGTTGGACTAGGAAATATGAAAAAAGTGAAGCTGCTGCATCCAATACAAGAATTTCCCTGCTAGTCTTCTTGAGAATTTATAGAATAAAAAACTTTACGGGGAAAACTGTTCTTGGGTTGTATCTGCAAAAATAATTAGATAATTTTTTAAACATGCAACTACTTCCCTATTATTTGAAAACATTCCGGTATTGGTGTCCGGTGATCAGAACAGAACGGATCTCTTATAGTGGCCTGGCACACGTTCTTCGGGGAAGTAGTCAAGTGGAGACCAACACTTATGTGCATTAGTTGGAATGGGTGAGGCTTTGAATGTTGTACAAGTCACCAGTCTTCCTTTCAGTCGGTTCTTTACTCGCATTGGATACTGGGGTCTATTATTCCCCGCAATCCTCACAAAACTGCGCGTTTTTAGATTTGTCTAACCCATT